AGAGGACCACAGCATGGTATAGGGTGCTATAAATGTACACAGCCCTGCCTGGCTGAAGGCTTATAGCATACCGTGCAGTGCCTGAGACCTCCAGACAGTAATGAAGCAGAGCTAGATGGGCTTAGTGTTTTGCCCCTCAGGCTGAGAACGGAGTAAAGTAGCAGCTTTCTTCCCTTTTGAAGAAGCCCTTTTCTTTCTCCATTACTCATTCCATGGAACATTAAAGAGGATTTGCAAGAAGATTTACACACACACGTACCCATACACGTCTGTGATAATCCACACTCCACACCTCCTGAGCAAAGGATGATGGGAAACAAGATGACAAAGTACCACTCAGACAACTCTGAACAGCATCCTCACTTTACTGTTGAGTGGTGAATACTTTTATCCAAAACAATGTACAGTATTTCTGTACTGCAAAGGCTGTATCGTTTTTCAAGTGCTATTACCTAGATTTTTATTGTATTTCTGGTACACCGCACTTTTGACATTTGGGTGGGTTTATGTACAAAAAAAAAGTCACAATTCTTTTTACAACACAATTGTACAACCTCTCTTTATCTGTTGGATTTAAACAGGTTGCTTTTATTAATGTGCCTTGTATGCAAAATTTAATACCCCTGGTCAAATTATATGTTTTGTTGATTTTCTAAGTGCAAATAGGTTTACACATCCTCTACAGGTAAGCTAAATATGGCACAATTGCTATTTATTTGTTGAGTCTAACATATTGAAAACAACATAACATATAATTTAAAATGTGCCATTACTTTTGCACAGGCCACATTTGGTGGTTTTTTACCCCAACACATTAAATTCAGCAAATAAACAGCAAATGTGCAGAAGTTTCTCTGTAAAGGATGTTAACTTATTTGTGACTTAGAAAATCAACAAAACATGTCAATCTGACGTGCATATGACTGTATGTACATTACTTCCATTCTGATTGGCTGCCCTGTTTTACACCTCATTGAAAAAGCAATCCAGGCTGAAACTCTTCTTATAACCTTACCATGAATGGGTGGGACTTAAACATAAACATGTACGTAAATCCTTTGGTTATAATGACATAAGTAAAACAATTAATTCAAAAGTTGTTCATTCATGGAGTGAATTGGTACATTTTGAAACAGTAACAATCAGCATTCTATACTAAACAACTGTTTCATAAAAGTGAAGAAAATTCAGTTTTCCACAATTTGGGCCCTTTAAATGAAAAAGCAGAAATGCAGATACCAACAGGGACTCAAACCAGTCACTGTTTAATTACCAGTTTAGAGTGCTCCTAGTTTTGACAATTCCAAACTGGTAATTTAAGGATCACTTTTTTAAACCTCTGGCTTGATAATAACTAAAACACTTCAGTCAGAGCACTGGCATTTCGTAAAAATGCTTGCAAAAGTCACTACAAATGTTACATAAACAATCTAGGCAGTACAATTCCTTCATAGATAATGGCAAGAACATTTGCTTAAGGATATCTCAATCAGATCATGTTTTGTGGATATCCTGTTTAAAAAAGCTTTTTTTTGTTAAATCATAGTTAAATATTTCATGGATAAAACAAAAACTACTCAAAGCACATTTCATTTTCATTACCGATGCCTGCTTGGTCTTTCCCCGAACAAAATAATAGTACAACTCAAGCCCCATACCCCAACTCAGTACGATGAATACAGCAGCAAGGCTAGTTCAGGTCAATTCTAACTAACAGCACTGGTAATCGATAGCCTACATGCACATGTTAGTATCCCAGAGGCATGTTGTACACTGCTCACTCCAACTATTTCAGTCTTAGTTATTGTGTAACCCAAACAGTTATAGGAAATACTCTGCTCTTATTCATAGGAAACAGTTCTTAGGCGAATAAAGGGCCTCAACAGTCAACCTAGGGGTGGACGATAGGGCGATTTTATCATGATAAAAATATTATTTCACAATACATAATATGTACAATGATTTCATTTTTCTGAGATTACATAAGTTGGAACAGACAAAATAGTACATCTAGTGCCACATATAAATATATTACAACAATAAAAATAATAGTCCTACACTACAGTAATTTTTATTCAGTGTTTCACAAAATGCATTGCACTAAACCCAATTTAACCAGCCTAATTATGCTTACTTTTTAAACAAAATATGTAATCAGTGTTCTTTAAGTACTGACTATATTCACCATATGCTCAGAAAAGCGTACTGTGACAAAAATTTATCACGATAATGATAAAATATTATCATATTGCCCACCCCTAAGTCAACTATTATAATGTTCTCTTTTGTCATGACACTTTTTCCATACATGTCTTTGTTGGCTAACAACTGGCTTTCTGGGCTCCAGAAATGCCATAGGTGCTGATTGTAAACCTATACTGTCAGCATAATCTCTATCCAGCGTGATCATAATCATCCATAATCGTATTATCTTCCCTTCGCCGCCATGCTTACTGTCAGAATCTGATGAGGCAGATGAGAGTCACATTGGCTCCAAATAGTGAAATCAGAAAGAAACATTTTAGCTAGTTTTACCCAATTAAACTTTACATTTACATTACATTTAGACCTTTGAAGTCTGGTGAGTGTTCACTGTATGACCAATGCTCCATGTCCCTTCTTGTATTTATTTGTACCCAGATTACTTGTACTGCAGATAAAAAAAAAAGATACCTTACAAAGATTTTAGGACCTGGCAAACTCATAAACCACGTTATCTTGACCACAACCCCCCCCCTAACCTTCTCAAGCTTTTTAGAAAGATGCCTAAGCTGTCCAAATTAACATAGTGGCCCCTGGCCAATCGCAGCAGCCTAAACCTACAAACCCTCAGGAAGCCTTCGTTCCCTGCCGAGAAGGCACAAGGATGTGTGTGAGAGGTGCTTCTTAAAATTCTGCTGTCGTCTTATCGGTGGGAATCTCGAACGGACCGTGAAACTTTGCCTCTGTTCACAGCTGATTTGCAATCAGCTCACAGAACACGGACAGACATAACAATGCAGAGGGTGAGTCTGTATGAATAAAGGTTAAGCAACCTCATTTTTTCCTTTTGCTCTTGCTCTCTCTGGTGCATAACTAGATGATGCGAATTGAGGGATGACACTGGTCATCTTAAATTTTATACATGTCTCAAAAAACATACAGAAGGTACCCTGATAATGCACTGCCACATAGTAAAACTAATGTTATTTTTAAAATATAAAAACACAGTACTGACCTGTTAATGGCTGTACTAGTACACTGAAGATCATGCTGACCGGCTTAAATTCCAATATAAAACATACTGTCAGTAACCAGAAGAAAGCAAGTTTTATCTTTTAGCAAGTGTTCCATTTGTGGATTCTGTTAAATGCTGGCCTAAGTTTTTTTTTTCCACACATGGTTCATTTGCTAAAGAGTTTACACCAGACTTTGGGGTTTTATGACATTGCATCTTTTTCCATTTGGTTCAGTTGGTGTTCACACTACGTAGGTGTTTGCCGATTGGTCAGAAATTTTTATTTTTGCCTCCTTAAGTGCCAAAAACCAACCATTTTTAAACTTTCACTAGCCTAACATTGTGTAAAGGCTCTATTTATCTATCACGTTCTAGATATTACATTGCATGGACACTGAGGCTCAACATCTATGTGCGTCATGATAAAAGCAATATGAATAAACAAAGCATACTAAAGGACAAGTTTGACAAGTCCACATCAAACATGGTCAGCCTGAATGCTCCCTAAAATGCAATGTCTTTTTAGTCCAGGCTTAGGCCTAATCTGGGTCTGGGAAAACTGGGCACTTAAGGTATAGGCATCCAAAAAGAAACATTCATGCAATGTGGCTATGTGAAAAAGAAACTGCAATAACTACAGTGTAACTCTCACCATACTTCATGACATTCCACTGACCAATCCAGAGTGGGTAAATATAAATATAGAGACAAAAACAGAACCGACATTGCTAAATGAAATATGTTGAGGTAGAGAAGAAGTGATTTGGAGATACAAGTTCACAAACAGCACTGAACTGATTCTAAGTATACAGTAAATAAAAAAATAAAAAAATTGTTCACAATGTAGCAGAATCTTTAACAGTATGTGCTCAACAATTGTTTAAGATACAACGTGCCTTAAACATGCACAAAAAGACACACACATATTGTTCACATCAGAAGGCCAGATTATCTGTTTGAGTCAGTGGAGGTACAGATCACTTCCCACTTTCCATTTCTCTTTTCCCTTAGTAGAAGCCCACCACACAGACACCTGAACACACTCACTCAAGCTAGCCCTTTACACAGTTTGAACCAGAAAGCACTGTTTATAGCAACAGGAGATGGAAGAAAAACTAACTTGCAAAGGGACTGTGCTGTAAAAGTATTCATTCAGTCCTAATACCTAAAAGCAGATACTACTTCAGAACATTAACAGAGTAGAAAACCCATCTGTTGTAGGCTCATCTGAGGGGGATCAGGCTAACACATGACTGAGAGGTGCAAACCCAGTGATAGACAGTGATTCACACTCATCTAAATTCAGCACAGCTCTCGGACTGACACTATTTGGAGCAGCACTAGAACCTTCTGGTGGAATTTCAACAAGAACACTGACTGGTCTTCAAAAATGAGCGTCCCATGGTCAATAAAACTCCATGATGTGGAGGTGAACAATGTTAATTAGATCATGAAGCCAAACGTTTCCGCAGTCGTCCTAAAGTTAACCTTTAACCCAATGTTGGGGCAAGTACAAGAGGACACTTGGTTCTAGCATATGAGGACATTGGCTACTTTTAGATTCCATTTTAATGTACTTTAACAGACATCTGGGGCAATGTAACAATGTGATCCTATTATGCAAATTTCAAATTACATTTTCCAACAAAGCAAATGTGAAAGAAACGTGCTGTATCATTGAACAGCACACGCACATACAACATAACAGCACTTGCAAAAGCTCTTCCTTATTATGGTATCCACGCCAGCAGCCCTCTACAACATACTGTAGGTTACAGCTTACCTGAACGGTTAGTGAAGAACCAAGAAGGAAGCCGAAACAGCCACTGCAGCAAAGCCCAAACTCAACATTTACACACCAACATTGTTCTTACGTTGCCATTATGTTCAACTCAGCATGCGACAGGAATTTAGAGCTGCCTTAGAGAGTCCTCTCTGCTGTGCTTTGCTGATCGGGATTTGGATCAGTTGTTGTTCCGAGAGCAGTGGACTTAATCCTCTAATTAACCACTCATTACGCAGTCGGGGGAGAGCGAAGCCTTCTAGCGCTTGTGGACGTGCCTACACTGGTGAAAGACTTAAGCCAACGCTGCAGGCTCACACACGCGCACACACACACACACAAAGCACATCACCATGACTACCGGCAAACTGGACACCCAGGGAAGGCGAAAGCACATTTTACAGCCTTAGATTAAGAGCTGGTTGAAGTGCCTTTGCCCTGAGTAAAAGACAGACCGTTCTTGGAACAAGTCAAAAAGGGTTGGTCGAGGTCACACAATCGCTGGAGTGATGAATAGCTGTTCCTGGAAGATCAGTGACACATAACTGCCATGTCCATGTCCATCTTCCTGTGTTTTTCCACATTCAGAATCAGACACTGCCAGTGCTATCCAACCATTAGCAAGTTTTCCACTGCTGGTGTTACCCATGGGGCTCTACATTAGGACTGGGCATTTTAACCATTTTTGCCATTCAAATAAACATTTGCACAACAAAGTATTTGAGGTTGATATGAATATAGTTCCATATATGGACCATTCTTAAAATTAGTTCCAACTGTGGTCCCACAGTAAAAACTAGTTAAAAAACATGTTTTTCAGACATTAATTACAAGGATTATGCTAGGATTTATTTAAACCTACTATTTAAAACTCACATTGCGAAAATATTTAAACTTTTCTACAATTTATTTTCAATACTGCATTTAAAAAAAGATCCCTCTTATTTTAAAGTAAATATTTACACAAGTTTAATTTTTAATTAAAAAATCTTTATTCAAAAATGCTGTCCCACTTTTTTACGTCAACATTTTACTCTATGGGCGGAGTTACAGGCTGTCAAGATCATGAAATTTTAGCTAACGATTAACTGTCAAATATATATTTAATTGTCTTTTCTTAATCACTGTTTGCAACTATTAAATACAAGCCTAAAATGGCCAAATTGATAAAGCAGCTGATAAGCCACCTTACTTGGTAGTAGGGCTGGGCAATTAATTGAAAAGTAATCGAAACCAACATTCAGAACCTCTAACCGACGTAATCTTGCCCATGACGGTCATTTTGATGTTTTTTTTTAATTCTGCTAATCCTTCCCCACTCTGTGTGTTTATGTACTGTCCCCTTAAAAACTTACTACCGCACGTGACTCCGCCACAACCACTCTGCAACATGGAAGCTATAGCTATGTTCACGCAGCAGGTGAAAGTGGCCCAAATCTGAGCTGCCACCATCAGGTGAAAGGATAAACTGCAACGTAGTCACTGGCGCGCTGCTAATAAAACACTCGAAAACAGAAGCCACAGGCCAATAAAAATCTGTCCGCGGGCTGCATTTGGCCCGGAGGCCGGACTCTGGACACCTACGGTCTACGGTAACACAAAATTATGTGTAGAGTTAAGCAAAGCTACATATTCTTCATAAAAGTGAAAATATAAGCAAAACACTCATTCTGCTAGCATAAATGCTAAAACATTAGAACTAGCTGCACAACTAACAAATAACATTACTCAGTGCTGACCTCTAAACATCTTAGAGCACAAAGTTAAAAGTAAGAATTTTTTTCATAACCACCATGAAATCTCAGTGAATGCTTTTACTGCTGTCTTTTATTTACATTTATTTGACTCAACCCAAAGGCAATTTGTTGCAGCATAATACAATTGTGAAATCTAACAAATGTGGAAAATGGCTGCAGACATCTTATATAACTGCGATCATCTCAAATAATTGCAATTTGGCGATTATGTAATAATTTTGACAGGCCTCGGCAGAGCCTTATTTTAGCTACACCTCTGCATTTTTGAGCAGGAAGTGGGACTGCATGCCTCATGGCCACATGGTGAGCAGTCAGATTTTGAAGTATGTGTGTCCCAATGTCCGAGAATCAGTGTGTATCATCACGATACACATATTTTCCGCAAGTAACTAAGCTTTGTGTTTACTGAAAAATAATATGATTTTATGAATGTACAACAGTTCAAAGGTGTGTTTGCTAGTCATATACTGGCTAACGTTTTTGAGATATGCTCAAAATTAGCTAAAACTACCAAAAACAGTCACTACTGAAACATTTAGTAAAGTTTCAGTAATGTTATTATTGTATTGCTAGTGACAAAATAGAACTCAAAAGTCTTTCAATAGAACTTAATAGTAACTCAAAAGTCTGTAAATGCTGTATGAAAGCGTTTTAGGGCCACTGTTAAACAAATAAAAAAACAGTAGACTTAATAAAGTCGTAATATTTCAAGACAAAAAGTCGTACTACATGATATTTTGAGAATAAAGTCATAATATTTTGAGAATAAAGTCATAATATTTTGAGAATAAAGTCTTAATATTTCAAGAACAAAGTCGTAGAATTACGACATTAAAGAGGCATTAAATGGAAGATACCAACCTCCTTACGTTAAAATGAGGGGCGTTGAGGAGCTGTTAGAGTTATACTTTCATATCGATTCCTCCCATAAAGAATCAAATCAGTAGCACAGTGTTCCAAAGCACACTATAAATATCCACATCTTTCCCGTCACTTTTGTTTTGTCAAATGAGGAGATGGTGACTGTCCGTCACTGCCCTGTACAACATCAAAGCTAAGCACATCAGACAACAGTGGTGCTCGTGGCAGATCCCCTAAGCCTCAGCCAGGGCCAGTTTAGGCACGTCTTTATTCTGTTCAAGAACATGGCCGCTGACTACAGCACCAACAAAATCAGTTCAACTACAATAAAATAAGCTGACGTTCAGTCGACTAGATAGTATTAAGTTCTGGCAACGAACCTGACGAATGATCATCTTTACTTGCTTTAACCGTGCTCCTATTACTTGCACAACATTCAAGGACAGTGCCAAATAGTGCCCAGAAGTGGTTAAATTAAGGAGTAACTCTTCAGGGGTTTGAATGGTTCAGTGCTCTGCTGCCGCATACTTGGGCAAAGAGAAATTAATAGATATGACCTTGACTATTAATTAGAGGCCATGTCAGAGAGGCAGGCCAGGGCAGTGAGGCTGACCTGATCTAGTGCCAGCAGCACATGGTTCCAGTCCCAACAGTGTGAATTAATGTAAAATGATAAATGCTTCAGGAAGCAGACACTGTCAGGGCGTGTACTCACTGAGTCTGGTCAAGAATAAGAAGAAAAAGGTGGGAAATGATCTTCTGCGTCTGTGAGTTTTATATATATATATATATATATATATATATATATATATATATATATATATATATATATACACACACACACACACACACACACACACACACACACACACACACACCTTGAATAGCTAATCTCACATTATGTAAAATGCCTCTTTCCATCTCCTAAGCTAAAGCCAGTGAGAGAAATTTAAAAACACTGGGTGGGGGAAAATGTTACTTAAGTGACCGTATAAACAGGGAATGCAGTGGCAACAACAGTGCCAAGTGCAGTGGCAACCCGCAGCATAACATTTCAAGCAAGGACACACACACGAAATGCAACGGCCTGTGAAACGCTGTGCAGTGTGAGAAGCCAGTGCTCGAGTTGTCTTCTATTGGACGAATGGCGGTTGGCAGGCTTAGGGTGCATTACCACTGCCTATCTGGGAGCTAGCTGCACTCCTCACGCATGCGTGTTTCACCGAAGTTGACAAAGTTAGTGTGTGAAACTACCTCTTCTAGGCCTGCCCGCTAGGCGGTCCAGCAAAGAAAAATCTCATTATAATGAATTTTGTTATTTATTTTTGCATTAGAGTCTGTGTCTCCCCACCACAGAACCACAGTATATTTGAAATTTGTGGGAAACACAGAATCTAACGCTTAACTGAAGTGCTTTATGACCAACATAAGAAACCATAATTGCTGGCAAAAGGGGTTAAACACATCTAGGAAATGAAGACGTGTGGCCGCGGAAGCTAAAGACGCAAGAAATCATGTTTGTGACAACATTTCAAATTATCAAACAACTCTCAGTGCAAAATCTTTGATAGGCCTTGGCATGTTTGATGAATCATCTCAAATTTGGAAGTCGAATGATCCTTTTCAAGTACCGCCATGTGACCACTATCAGCTCTTTTTGCTTTTCTTTTTTAATTGAACAGCTTTGCAGCAGACTTAACACTTGACAACACAAACAACAGATCTGTTTATTTTCAATAAAACCACTGTATCAGAGAAGAATCTCCACCACACACAGTTAGTACAGCACAGGAGCTGCTCTACAACTGCCCCAACAAAAAGAACATCATATTTTATATGGTTCAGGCCAGCCCCACTATTATCTGATTAAATATATATCCAAATCAAAAGCTATCAACATTTAACAATGGATACTGCACTAAGGATGGTGACCTGATACTATGGAGGATGGACACTGGAGAATGTTCTTGCTGACCACTGCCATTGACACTGTGGAAAAGGTGGCATACCCAAGTTGTAATAAACCTTATATATTTATATTTGACTACACAGCAGCAGTACTTGCCCTGGCATAAAATACCAAACAAACATTCAGCAAATAGCAGACACTGGCCACATGATTTTCATTGAGTTCCTGCAAGCCTAAACCACAGCAAGTCTGAATGGAAAGAGTATCTTCAAAGGCCTTTATATGATTCAATAGAATTAATTTATTCTCAGAATGACCAAGCCTTTCCTCTTTCCTTAAACATCACACACAGCTCCCAGCAATGAGTGACTACACCCAATCTCCACATGACCAGAGGACAGCACGCTTATTAAGAAAAAAAAAACAGTAGACTTTGTTCACCTTCTCTGTATACTTTTCAATCTATGACTAAACAGTGTAAACAGACAGAGGTACCAGCTAACCTTTAAAAGAAACCCTAAACCAGAGAAACTATAAGGCTAAACAGCCAAATAGATCAGAACACTACTTCTTTAACAGCTGCTGGTTTAAGCCATTCTAAGTCTATGAAGCCTTTTTTAATTAAGAGATATCAGCTAATCCACAACTCCCTTTTTCCAAAGGCAATATAAATAACACAGCAAATGCATGCTGTACCCAGTGAACCCTCACACATACGTTCCCAAGCAAGATGTAGTCTTCGAAGTTAAAATAAAGTTACTGGTCATTTCTTAAAAGGTGTTTTAATTTTTTAGGCTTATCGTCACTCTGCCCAACAGGAGTTTTGATGTTTGACTCCAGCGCAGCCCAAGGGAAGTGGAAACTGGAAGGGTCTGGCCTCCATATACAGTTCTATATAAACTCCACATACAGTTTGGGCACCCCAGGTCAAATGTTTTGTTAATTTTCCAGTGAATTAAGCTAACACATCCTTCACAGAGAAAAAATTTCTGCACAGATCAATGCACAATATTTATTTGCTGAATTTAACATATTGGGGAGGAAAAAAAAACAAAACAAAATAAGCAAAATGTGGCCTGTGCAAAAGTTATGGCACATTTTATATTTCATGTTTTATTTTTTTCAATATGTAAAACTCAGCAAATAAATAGAAATTGTGCAAAAAATTGTCATACTTTGTTCTCACTTAATTCAACAAAATATGTAATGTGACCAGGCGTGTTCAAACTTTTGCATACGACTATACATGGATGGACAACTAACAGATCTTACGCATCCTATAAAGGAAAAGGTCCAAGCAACATTTTTTCCAGGAAATTAAGGTAATTCTGATTGGAAAAAAAAATAAATAAATAAACACAATAATATACAGGCCATTCACTTCCTCGTTGCTGCCATTTCAAGCATTCAAATAAGTGAAGTACTAAAATAATACTTTATCTATTTTATGACAAAACTTTGGATTACTACATTTGAACAATAAGACAGGCCCATGATAAACGATACTCATGCTCTCTAGTATGATGAGTGAGTTGAGTAGACTACAGCTCAACAGCAGTCACAGAGGAGCAGGCGAGGACAGGCAGGGTTCAACACACCCGCTGCCACACAAAAGTACACAACAGGACTCATTAAAGAGAAATAAGAAAAAGGTGCAAGCTGTGTTGTCTTTACCCCTGTGAGATCTGCGCAATGTGTTAAATAACGGATACCAGGAGTATCTCCTGAGACTGACAGCAGGATGTAAAAGATCTACTAAGTGGAGCTGAACAGTTAACTTCGGCAGTATAATAAGAATAATGATCTCTGTCTAATAGCACACAATAAATTGGTTGGTATTAAGGTTCTATGAATTTAATAAACTACCAATATTTATAACAAGCTTGTTTTACAAGTAATAGTGGGCTCTAAAATTAGGAGAACCACTCATTTGAGAAA